GATATGTGCAGAGATACGTCTGGGTGCATATGTGCATGTGTGTGCATGTGTGTGCGGGGAGGACAGTGGTGGGTACCCAGGATCTTTCTTTACTGCTTTCCACTTTATTTATTAGTTTTTGGTTTTCGAGAGGGTTTTCTGTGTAGCACTGGAACTTGCTCTGTAGACCAGGCTGGCCTCAAACTCAGAGACCTGCTGGGATTAAAGGTGTGTGCCACCACCACCTGGTCTGCCTTTATTCTTTTAGGAAGGGTCCCTCACTGAACCTGAAGTTCATTAATTCCCAGGTACCCAGATTACAGACATGAGCCATATTGCCTATCCCTTTACATTTCTAGAGATCAAACTTAGACCCTTGTGCCTACACAAAAAGTACTGTACCAACTATACTAACACCCTAGCCCACAAAATAGAGTTTTTCAGAGGATTCAGAACAGGACAGCTTGTTGTGTTCTGTATGAGGTGTGGGATGGACTTGGGAGCATCTTCTAAATGTGGACCCTCTGGGCTCCCTGTTTGAAAACTTGAGGTCTTCATAACAAGGATTTAGTGTCTTCTAGTCTATACTCCAGTTACATCTATCATGAAAACAGTGTCTGTGCAGGAATAATTGACCCCAAAGTCCAGTAAAATTATTGCCCAATCAAGAGAGTATTTAAGATAGCAATTCTTAAATGTTGGTTTGCAAAACTGTTTAATTGGGTTTTCACGTCTCTCACTTGAAACAAAATAAAAACAGATGTAACAGTGGGGTTTTAGAATACATTGCTTTAGCATACAAAGCTAAAACCAATATGATGGCCACTCCTTGATTCTAAGTTCATTTCATTTTTATATTGAAACGTTCTCTCTGATGCACAGGCAAACTGGTGAATCATCTTCACAAGTCAAATAAAACCCTACGTGCAATCTAAGGTATGACTTAGTCTAATATTTCAGGACTATTTGTTCTGGTTTATGAACTGCAAGTCTGGGAAATCACTGTCCAGAAGGTGAACCACAGACTGGTACAGTGGGAAGATCCCTGGGCTGGGAGACACCTCATCTCCCAAGGCCACTAGTCATGGTGTTTTATAGAGCTCCTCCTTCTTCGGGCTTGTTCCTCACTCCACTCTCAGTGGACTGGGCCAGACGCCCGCTCAGCCCCTTCAGCTCAGCATTCTGTCATAACTCAGACAGAGTAGCTAATTCCTAGGTAACATCGAGTCTTACAGGCTCGGTGGACTTCCTTTATCTGCTTCATGGAGAAGCATAGGTAAAATGGTCTAAGGGAATCTGAAAAGAATGCCCTTGGAATCCGACTATCAGCTGCTCAATAGATGCTGAGATGAGCCCATCACAAAATGCCCTGTGGTGTCAGTGTGGCTGGAAAACCAACAAGAAAGTTCCAGCTTGAGGACCACGTTGGCTTAGTCATCATAACTGCCGAACAGGCAGTGAACATCTGTGTATTAAACATTCTTTTTTTCTCTCGTTTCCAACTCTTTGCTTTGTGTATCTTATTCTTGCTGGAGAGATGGTTCAGAGGTGAAGAGCACTGCCTTGCTCTTCCAAAGGACCCAGGTTCAGTTCTCAGAGCCCACATGGTGGTTCACAACCATCTGTAATGCCCATCTCAGGGGATCAGATGTCTCTTGTGGGCTTCTGTGGCATGCCTGTGCTACAGAGACACACATGCAGTTAAAACACCGGTACACCAAACAGACGAAAATGTTTGAAAGCTTTTTTCAAAAGAAAGAAGAAATTCCTTAGGACAGACTTTGGTTGCTCTTTCCGTTAGGTTGTGCTGGGAATTGGTCACAGGCCCTCATGCTCACCAGATGAACAGTCTACCACTGCGGTTCACCCCATCTTCATCTGGTCTATGGAGTTCACATTGCTTTGGTATTATTTTCTCAGTGCGTTAAAAACTAGGATAAGGTGATTTTCCAATTCAGCATTGAGTCTGAGTCCTTACTGTACACACAGTAGACGGTAAAACACCTTGCAGCTAAGTCATAATAAAAATCCACTCTTTGGGGATTTCGTCCCATTATAAATGTATCTAGTAACTGCTCTTTTTCTCTCCATTGGGGAAAAAATAGCGTTTAACTATGCCAGGGGTCTCTTGGTGTAGCTACTGTGCAGTCTGCCGTGTGCTTCTGGGATTGTCACAGTAAACTTGAGCACTCTCAGGGACTGGGATCCATCACTGCAGTGGAAATGTCTTACGACGATTTGGCCAAGTGTTTGTGCAACAGCTGTGCCACTAGCCTGTCTGAGTCACCTTCCTGCTTTCCTTTGGGCCCAGTCCTGTGATTCATCATTCTGCTTTTAGAATATTTGCCTATTTTTAAAAGCAGTCAAAGAAGGCAGCCACTGTTTAAAAGTAAACACCCCTCACACCGGCACGGAGTAGCTCTGTAAGCAGCTTCTCAAGCCCTGAAATTTCTGGCAGGCGAGGCTGCCAGCTAAAGCAGATGGCATGGAGCGGGAGATGCCGGTTGGCTTTCAGAGTTGGTAGACTCCTTGCATCTGTCTTCGGCTTTCTTGTTTCCGCTGCTATTTCCTGCTTGGGTTGATCCAGCTTGATCCGTTCTGAAGCAAGCGTCTTGCCTCCATTCTACTTGTCTGTAAAACATCCATTATGTCGGATTAGACTTTCATTTCAGTCGAAGAGGTCCAGTCGCAAGCCATGTGTCTCAGCGTGGGTGGCTGCGTATAAAGACATTGATTTCTACCTTACTCCATTCATTCTGGGTCATATCAGGAATTGGCTGTTTACAATATGGCAGTGCAGTGAATGGATAACTCTCCTCCACTCTTTTCTAAACTTTATAATGAAGCAAGAAGGAGTATGACTGACTGCATAGTGGGCAGGATGACTTACATGTCAGGAAGCCCTGAGAACCAGTCCTCAGTATCTCCTAGAATTCTAGCATGCCCTGTCTTTTGTATTTATTTTATGGAAGTGGTTTCTCCTTCCTGTTGCCTCCTCATCTGTGGTAATCAGGGTTGGGATGCCAAAGTACAATATGTTCCTATCTACTGTGCCAAATCACTCTGGTCCTGGACCCGATGAGCTCAAATAATCACGATGTCTAGGCTTTTGAAAATATACTAAAGCAAATTGAATGCCCTGAAGACCCTAGTTGGTCTTCTAAACATCATAGTGGAAGGCTTCTCTACAGTGTGTCAGGCTGTGATAATTTCATCCAGTTTCTTGGCCAGTGATGGTGTGGATTGAGAAAGTCAGAGGAACTGGCTAGAATTTGGTGTTCTTATTCTTATAGGAAGGGAGTATCCAAGGGGCACAGGCTTTACCCTTCTTTGAAGCTCGTGTTTAGGAGTATCAGTCCCATGTTGGTGATGTATTGCTGTTATTTTGGATCACTTTTGAGTGGGAGTATTATTTCAGTACTCTTGACCAAAATATACCATCTGCTGCTGAGTGACTAGACCCCTGAGGTGTTTGGTTGAGGTTGCTACTACCCCTGTTTAACTCCTCTCTCTGGTGATTGTCTTCCATGCCTTCAAAGAGCTGAAATCCCCCAGAAGCCACAAATGCCCTGTGTATTTACTACATTTTATTTCTCAGTGAGCTGGGAAAGGATATAGTTGACCCTGTGTGTTTGTGAGTTCTGTATCTGGATTCAACCAAGGGCAGGGAAACCTTAAAATCATATAGTACTGAACTAGTATAGACTTCTTCTTGTTACCCGTTAACCTGTATAGTACAATAACTTCAACAGCAATCACATTGTATTGTGTTAAGAGTTACAGAGAGATGAAAGTATGCATGAGGACACATTTAAATTATATGCAAACACTCCATTTAATATAAAGGTTTTGAGGTGAGCATCTTCAGACTTTTATCCATGAGGAGTCATGGAAATAAATATCCGTGGATAGCAACCATGACTGCCCTGTCTCTTTACTGTGTATGACCTAATTAATTAAAAATGATCATTAATTAGTTTTACCAGTGAATTTGCTCATGCTAGTGAGAATATAAAAACTAATGTATTTCCTTGCTTTATTATGACTTGAAGTGGCGTGTGTGTGTGTGTGTGTGTGTGTGTGTGTGTGTGTGTGTGTGTGTGTGTGTTGTATTCTCAGGCATGTACTGGAGAAGGGTTTGGAAATGAATAGGCAATGTTCCCATGGAGCCACAGTTCTCTAGGCAAACAGATCTTTTTGGTTTTTTTTTTTAACGAAGCACCAAGGCTGGATTAGCACCCTGTTCTTGAAGAAATTTGGGTAACGTGTATCTGAGGCAACGTTCCTGCCAGGGTTCCTCACAGGCTTCCAAGGATGTATCTTTTGAAGGGGCAGGAGCTGTTTACTGTTAACTAAGCTGCTTCAATGTTTGTTTGAGGGGATGTTTAGGCCGCTGAGGACAGAGGTGCCATAGCTGTGTGGGCTCAGGCCAGTTTGGAGACACAGCTGTGGATTCTGCTCCAGGTTGTCAGTGTTGCCCTGACACTACAGGGAGAGAGTCCCAGTTGGGGCTGCTGGCTGGCTGTTACACACAGAAACCCTGAGTGAGCTGCTTGTAAATGGTGGTTTGTGAAGGGCAAAACTGTCTGAGTGAGGCTGCCGTCTGTCACACATGTCCTCCTCCACACTGACATTGTTCTGACTGCCCATTAGCACCATGTTAAAAACACTTTCATGCCTATCCCCTGGTTTGGGCTGATGTGACAGTATTAAGTAGCCTTTTTAAATTGGAGAGCTAGGAGAGTAGACATTTGAGGACTCTCCCTCCCTTCCTCCCTGCCTCCCTCCCTGCCTCCTTCTCTGCCTCCCTCCCTCCCTCCCTCTCTCCCTCCCTCCCTCCCTCCCTGCCTCCCTGCCTCCCTGACTCCCTGCCTCCCTCCCTCCCTCCCACCTCTCTCTTTCTCCCCAAAGCTCTGTCAGGCCAGTTAAGCTCCCCTATGCCTCCATGGTCACAGAAGATGGAGGGTGATACTCAGAAGGTACAGGGCATGCTGGGTAACCATTGTATTCTCGTGTTTTAGATGATGCATCGTCTGAAGATGCCATTCCTTTGGTCTTCCCAGAGCTAGAGCAGCAGCTCCAGGTAAGGATTCTGCAAACATACGCCTGCTTTCCTGGAGTGCCACAAAGAGTGAACCAGGAAGCCTCTAAGTGGGAAAGATGGATTGATACAAAGGGTGGAGGGCTTCTAAGTCACAAACGTGTATTTCAGAGCTCCAAGGTCAGACAGAAAGAAGCAGCTAGGGAATGGCCCTGCTTATCCAGCTGTGATTCTTGGATTTCAGATGCTCAGAGTGAAGTAGCTGGAGCTGAGAATGCACCTGCTCCCACCTTCCTTGGCTACGGTGTCTCCGGGCCATGGGACTTTAGCTCCATTTTGGGTTTAGTGATTTAGTATTAGACCCTGCAGAGAAAATTTGCCATATTGCCAAGTCTTTGGAATAATACTTTTTTCCTGCTATCTGCTTCTTTCCCGGTTCTATGACAACTTCTAGTGGTTCTCAGCCTGCGGGTCACAACCCCTTTGGGGTCATATATCATATATCCTGCATATCAGATGTTTACACTAGCATCCATAACAGGAGGAAAATTACACTTATGAAGTAGCAATGAAATAATTTTATGGATGGGGGATGCCACAGCATGAGGAACTGTGTTAAAGAGTTATAGCATTAGGAAGGTTGAGAACTGCTCTAATAGAATGAGCAAGTGGGAATTAAAACCTTCAGTAAAGTGTTGGTCCAGCCTATTAGAAAATAGTTTCTAGATGACATATGAAAAGGTCATCCCAGGAGACCACATCAGTAGAACACATTGAAATGTTTCTCTCTCTCCTATCCTGTCTCCTCTCTCTCTCTCTTTCTTTCTTTCGAGACAAGGTTTCTATGTGTAGCCTTGACTGTCCTGAAACCAGGCTGACCTCATGAGACCCACCTGTCACTGCTTCCTGAGTGCTGGGATTAAAAGTGTATGTCACTACTGCCTGGCTGGAAGTTTCTTTTTAAAGAGGCTCATTTACTTTTAACTTTTCTAGATGTAATATTCTGGCATCAGGCAAAGGAGATTTTTAATGTAAATGTTTCTGTATACAAGGTTTCTGCTTACACACCTGTCTGTTCTTCTTTGAGCCAGTATTGTCAGATCCCTTGGAACTGTGGTTACAGAAGGTTGTGAGCCTCCATGTGGTTGAACTGAACCTGGGTCCTCTAGAAGAGCAGTCACTTCTCCTAGCTGCTAGGTTAGCACATCAGAACCAACACAGAGCAACTCAGATGTGGGCTATCATTACTTCCTTCCAGCAGCCAGCCTGCTTAAGAGACCATGAGCACTTATGCAGGTCTCACTGAAGATCGCATAGCAGGCGGGAAGGTAGTATGGTTACCACACAGGCATCACGAGACGGTGCTGTAATCCCAAGGATGCCCTCCCCAGCGGTCAGCTACATCTTCCTGTTCCTCTGTGCTCTACGCAGGCTCTTCAGCCCGGCTCTCTGGTCGTCGATGGCTAACTTTGCTCTGCTTACTCCCACACTGGTCCAGCGTCTTTTCAGGACGGAGATCTGTCCAGTGTCCCCTCTGCCAGGCTCCTTTTCATTCAGTTATTCACAGACCACACATGGCATTCCTTGAGCGCTGTCCTCCAGGGGTTGTCTATGTATGAACTACTGGTAGTCCATCAGGGATTGTGAAGGGAATATTTCCCCCTTTGTTATACTGACACCTCAAAGCTGTCTTATTAAAATGGAAATCATGTGAAAACAGGGGTCAACGTGTTTTGAAAATAAATCAGGAAGTCAGTTCAGGTTCCTGTTCCCCCATGAAATTGTAGATAATGAGTTCTAAGGGTTTTGTTGCTGTTTTTCCTGGCGTGTGTGGTGTTGGAAAAACTATTTTCCTCCCACTTAGAATATGAGTGGTCTTCCTTAGCTTGTGGCTCAGTCACAGCACCCCTGGTGAGCATCCAGGTAATTTTCTGTTAGAGCATCACTACATCCATTTGAATGACATATATTAGAAATTAAACCTATTTAATTATTTTACTCCAGTGAGAAACCTCCATCTTTATTTGTCTTTGATGGGGTAGGCATGGCTTCTGCCTTAGGGGTTTTGATTTTCTCCTTCAATGTGGTTCTGATATCTCTTCTTCCTGGGGTCAGAAGTGAGATGAGGTTGAGCTTGTAATTAGCATATACCAGCTCTCAAGACTTTGGTTAGGACTACCCCTGTCTAGAACCATCCTTTTTTTACATGGAAGAGGTCTTCTTTAGAATTAGACTTGAGTGCTTCTATCTTGTTTTTTTTTTTTTTTGCTTACTGTTGTAATCCACTATTCAAAAATAAACACCAGTGAGAAAAAAGGGCCTTGTGGGTGTCACTATACAGGAGACTTAAGAACTCACCAAGCAGAGAACAAACAATGCTAGACATTACTACCAGTTCTCTTTGTAAACCCCAGAATGAGGTCTCACTACCGCAAGTCGACTCTGGAGCAGGCAAGGGCCATTTTCCTTCATGTGATCTAATTTGGTTCTTACAATAATTATAGAAGCTAACTGTTCCATTCTCAATTTATACATGAGAAACTTGAGGTCAAATTTTGGTGCAAATCAATTTGCTGATCTTTCTCTTAGTCCTTTTTGTGGAACACACGGGCTATTTAAATTAGTTTGATAAGTTGAGCTTTGTTTTGTTTCTGGTTGGCAAGGTTACTGTGATGTAGTTCAAGAAGTACCTTGTAAAACTTGCTGGGACTTTCTGATAGCCACTGCACATTCCTTGGTAATTTATAAAGTGCAGCTATAAAGTATCTATTTGGTAGATACTCTATCACTGATTTGACCCCCAAGATTTTTCTGTTGCTTTGCCAAGAATGTGGACATGTTTGAACATGTAATTCGTGATGCTTCTATTTTCACAGAAGCCAAAAAAAGCCTTGGGCAAGAATAGCAATGACAAACCTTTCTCTTGATGTCTCTATTAATGCAAAATTCTGGGTCAGAGACCTCAGGGTAATGTTCATTTCTAGGCCCTGAGCCTCTGCGGAAGGACAGGTGGGAGGCTAATTTTGCATTCCTTTCTTGGGACTAAGTTTCCAAACCCCTTGTGGGTATGAGGAGCAATATTTGGTGCAGCAGGTTTAGATGATCTAGACAGAATAAAAGATGGAATTCTATGTTCACTGCAAGAGTGAATGAAAATGTACTTTAGGGAATAGTGGCTTTCTTCTATTTAGAACAGTGTTGACGGGCTTCTCTCTTTTCTGTACCTGGAAAGATGATGACTTTTTTTCATGGTCCAAGGCAAGACCAAGTCCATGCTACAGCCCAAGTAGAAGAGTTATGCTTTGATCACTATGGTTTAACTCAAAGCTTGCACTCCCCAAAACGCGCTCTCATCAGCCAGTACCTGGAGTTAACAGTAGCTGTCCCACACTGAGGTAGGAATGACAGATGGTACTGAGGAGCGCTAATGGAGCACTTGGAAAAAAATTACTCAGTCAATGCAAATAGTCTTCGCGATGAAACTCTTGGTTGAATGAAAAATTCGAGGTTGTTGTTTATGTTTATGTGTGTAAAGCAAAACCAAAGATGCATGCGCACCTCTGGGTTCCTTCAGAAGCCCTCTTCATCAGGCATTTGGAAAACATGACCTCTCTAAAGACTTCAAAGCCTTCATCCTCTCCTCCGATGGGATGGTAGCGACAGGTGTCTCTGTGGTACACGCTGAACTCGCCTTTTCTCAGACAGGGTCCAGTGAGTCCCCAACAATCTGATGTCACCTCTACAAATAGACAATTTCAGTTTCCCTTGAGTGTCATACTACCGGGCAGCCGCTCCAGAAACTTCTTTTAGTACTTGCCTAAGTATATCACTTGACACCTGGGAAATGAAAATGTTGAAAGATGAAGTGAGCCCAGCATCCCTGGATTCTGTCCCCATGATGTCTTCAATACCCTCCTGGAACTATGGGTGGGAAAGGCTGGGGGTAGAACAGTGAAAGCAGCCAACATGTTCTCTCTTGTCCACACATCGATGAATGTCTTAGGGTATCCTTTGGATTTGGTGACCATTCAGAGAACATACATAGATGTTTGGGAGCCTTGCCAAAGTAATTTTTTGAAAGCTTGGTCAGTGGTTTGTAGGATATACCTTGTTGGAAAAGTCTGAGAATTCTTGAGTTACTTTTCTCTTTTATATCCTCTGGGCCAACAGAAAGGATGTAAATGTGTTTTACACAAAGCTGTATAATATGTAAGTTGCATGGTATAAATTCCAGCACTTACTAAATTTCAGCACTTACTAGGCTCTGCTGTTTGTGTTGTAGAAGTGTCAGTTACTATAACATTCTTTCAAACCCTTAATGTCTTAAAATAATAAAATTTGAGTGACCATAATTGAATATACTCTAGATCCTCCTTCCTCCAGCCTGGACTAGGTTTCTCCTCATAGACTTAGCAGACAATGCTTGTTAGTTTTGAGAGACATTAAAATGGAGTGTAGCCCCTATTCTCCCAGCAAATAGGTGATCCTGAGAATCACGGAATAAATACAAACTCTACTCAACCACTGTAGAATGTTTGGCTTCCTAAATATATCTTCTGCGTGGGAAGCTGGTGTAGGAGAATTCAATTCTTGCGCTTTTGAAGTGGACAGGGCCAGTAGTTTCTGAAGTAGCCAAGCAGAAAACGGAAACGCTTAAGCCGGCTTTGCCCCTTGCTGAGGGCTTGGCCGCATGCTTTCTCACGGGCTCATTTCCAAAGGATGGAATACACTTCTGGAGGCTGTGAACCGATGGCTGAGATGGTGCGGTGTGGTTCAAGCCGCATTCTTGGAACAGGAGCCTGCGGTTTGGTTTCTCCCTTACTTCATCGTGTTAAATTAGTCCTGGTGATTGGGCTGGGTTCCAGTGGCCGTGACGGTTACCCCAGACTCTGCGGTGTAATTTAAAGCCTTTGCAAGCTCCGTTCTCTCAGGAAACAGGGTGAAGAGGAAGTGACCGCCCCAGGCTTTGACCTCATCCAAGCCCCAATCTGTGCCTTGGGAACATGTGTTTCAAAGCTGGCTTGAAGCAGGGCTGGGAGAACATCTTTATTTACCCCCTCCAAACTCCAGTAGGAGACCTTCACGGGGGGAGAGAGACTGGAGCCGTTTTTATGATAACACAGCAGCTATGCTCTAGAATCCTAGACAATTGCACTCGGTGATGGGGAGTGGGGGTGAGGGGCATGCTACCAGAGGTTGAACCCAGGGCTTCCCAAATGCTAGTCATGGGCTCTGCCGCTGGCTGCTTCCCGGGCTGTTCTAGGATGCTGAGAATATCCGTACCTTCTCATTGTTCACTTTTCTGGGATTCCTTTGGAATTCAGCCTCATCCCTTTGACAAGAGGGTGGACTGGAGGCATCAAAGTGCAGAGAGCCAGCATAATAAAGAGAGGATAACAAGGGAAGTGTCTCCTGATGTAAGACGAAAGCAAAGGCATAGTTAGTTTACTGTTCACCCTCACCTAGCATGGGAGTTCAATGAAAATCCCTCTAATGGAAATGGTTTAAATCAAGTGTTGGGGATAAAAACTGCATTTTTTATTGTTTTGCATTTAAAAAATAGTCTTATCTAGCAGTTTTGTACTGAACTCAGTAAGTAGCCAACGATGACTTTGAACTTTTGGTTCCCTGAGCTTCAAGTCCTGGGACTGTAGGTGTGCACCACACTTGGCAGAAACTGTTACTTTTATTCCCCAAAGTTAATTATTTTTTTGTTTTGTCTTTTTGTCTAGCTTTTCCAGGGATTCTTGTAGATTATATTTTAGTTTTCAATTTAAACTAAGTGTGTTAAGCAGGATAAAAAAAAAAAACCCAATTAAGTCATACGCGCCTGGGTTTAAATGCTCCATTACTTAAGTCTATTGATAATTCTGTTTTTGCTTTAAATTTTAGATATTCATTTGTTTCTAAACAAACTCTAATAAGTCTTCACTGGAAACATCCCTGGTTTGCGTTTCTCCAGCCTGTGCTGATATGAGTCTCATGGCAGCAAGTTGCTCATTCTGTAGTAGTCCCACACGCTGTGTTTCGTTCAGTTTCTCTGCCACTGTATTGATGGACACCAGTGTTGGCCGACATAGCATCATATTCTATTTCAGAGTTCCTCAAAGCTGGGCAGTTGGCAAGGATGAGCAGTCTCACTCTCTTCCATCTGCTCATCTTCAGAGTCGTGAACTTTCTGGTTTTCATAACGAACTTGGGATTGATCAACTCCAGAGACTTTTTCTTCTTTTTTTCTGCAGATACCATCTTCACGCCTTGGCATGGGATGGCCCTCAGCTGAGAGTTGGTAGCTCTGTTTTTAAACTCTGCACCGTATTTGTGTGCTTAGATGCTAGGAATGTATTTCCTCAGGCAGAATTTTAATTTAGTGAACGCTGCTGGTCACATCACCTCCTCTTTTGAGGAACTCTGAGAAGGTCAAAGAGAGTTGCCATCCGTGAGAACCTAATAGCAGTACACATCTATTTTATGGGGCAATAGAGGGGCTGGGGTTGGAGCTCAGTTGGTACCCTGCTTGCATAGCAAAGCATGTTCAGTCTCCAGTGTTGCATATACCAGGTGTGGTGTCACACAGAGGTAGGGCCAGGGAGATCAGACACTCAAGGTCATCCTCCTACACGTTCAGTTCAGGGCCAACTTGGTGACCTGAGAACCTGTTAGAAAAAAAAGTTTGGCAATGAGTATTAGGAGGCAGAGGAGCACACCATTATCCTAGATTGCATTAGTTATAAGACTTTCATCGATTGGAATTTCTTCCGGAATGCAAACCGCATGCAAGTAAACAAATTCTTCAGTGAATTTTCTGGGCTGGCATAAATGTCTGCTGTCTTCAGATGACAGTTGATTCTGCTGACCAAGCAAACGTATTGATTTGCCCAGCAACGCTTGTGGTTAGCAGTGAATGAATGCCTTGAAATTTTAAAGTGGTAAGAAATATGAAGTTTCCAGGCAAAAGGGTCAGGGAAGACAAAAAGCGGGGTAGAAATGAGGTGAGCCCCAGCCAGCAGACTCTGGGAGGAGAGCGTCTCAGATGGCCAGGGATGGGGGAAAAGGCTCACAGAAATCTGTCTTTGCGTTCACGTGGACGGCAATCCCCAGTGTACAGTTCAGCTGCCTAGCTAGTCCCACATGTCTAGTAGTATGACCGCACAGCCTAGGTGAAGAAAAATAGCCTTTCAGATAGTTTTCAGAACTGATATTAGTTGTTAAAAAAATAGGCTTCATTATGGCGTTTTCATCGATATACATAACGCGCTTTGGTTATTGTCTCCCCTCCCATGACCCTCACGTGCTCCTCCTCTCTCCCACAGAGGGACTGCCTCCCCCTTCTTCCAAAATACAATATCCAGTTTCCACAATTACCAGGTACCAGTTAGCGAGATGCGGTGGCGCACACCTGCAGTCCCAGCTGCCTGAGGGGCTGAAGCTTGAGGAGACCGGTTTGAGGATCACCTGGGACACACAGTGCGTGAACTCAAGGCTAGTTTGTGCGAGTCAGCAAGATACTGTCCAAAAGTAAAAGTGCAAAAGGCCTAGAGACGTCGCTTAGTGGAAGCACGCTAAAGTGCAAATGAAAAGAGAGGGAAAGGGGCCGGAGAAATAGCTCAGCACTTAAGAACAGTGGCTGCTCTCCTAGAGGATGGGAGCTCCATTCCCAGCATCCACAGGGTAGCTCAGAGCGGGCTCTAAGTCGGGTTCCGGGGCATCTGGTGCCTTCTGGCTTCTCAGGCATCGCATGCATGTGGGGCACAGACAAACACGCAAGTAAATGGGAAAAATGCATAAAATTAAAACCCCCACAAAACCAAAGTCATGGGGAGGGGTGGAAATCCCAGTTATTTAAAAGAATGGCAAGGCGCCAAGCGAAGGAAGGAGGGAGGGACCGCCCTTGCTTGAAGGGAGTGCGCTGGTGATTTTCAGTTTTCTATTCATTATGCGAACAGTGTTCTGTTTGCACCAGGAGAGGGCACCAGATCTCACGACAGACGGCCGTGAGCCACCGTGTGGTTGCTGGGAACTGAACTCGGGACCTGTGGAAGAGCAGCCGGTGCTCTCAGCCTCTGAGCCACCTCTCCAGCCCTCAGTTTTCTTCTTAAAGCACAGCGGAAAGGACAGCCCTGCCTTGACTGCTGCCTTCTCTGCTCTCCCAGACACGCAGAGCCATTTGTGCAGAATGTTAGACTCTTTTGGCCAAGACATTCGGTAGCTGCTGAATTTGCAGGTGGCAAGGGACGTGCTGAATCCCGCTTTAACGAATGTGGCTTCATGAGGGCAGGATGGCATGTGTGACCTCGTGGCTGCCAGTAGGCAAGTCCTTTAGCAGGGCACAGATGTTTTAAAAGCTTGGCTCGGGAGCCTGGGGTAGGTTGCTGTTGTTCTACTCTGTTACCTGGTGACCTGCCAGGGGAACAGGTGAGAATGGGCGACTGGGTTGCAATTTCTGGGACACAGGCTGGAGGAGCCAGGAGTTCTGAATCCCTTTGGCAATGGCCTCGCCTCCTAGGGTGAATCATAGTGTCATACTGCTGTGTCCTGCTTTTCCAATTATTTCCGTATTAAAAAGGACAGCAGCGACAGTGGGCGGGGTTGGTGTTAATGTGTTCATAAGGATCTGGGGAAAGACACTACACGAAGCGATTGCCGCTAGGTCCCACATGAATGAAGTGACAGCGAGGACTTCACATGAGTGGAGAAATCTTGTCCTAATCGGAGTTGGAGAACACTGTAGAACTACTATGACCATTATGTATTCATTGCGCATATTAGCAAAGTTCTGTGTGATGTGCCAATGTCTACTTAGAATTTCACTTCCTCGAGGAGAAGGATCCTCTTAGCTATCAGGCTGAGCACACACTTAACTGAATTGCTGTTACTTACCGAATGTGTGTGACACCCAGAGACGTCTGTGTGTCTGAGCATGTGGTACCACATGGTGAGGTAAGAAACCTATCCGTTCACACTTTACACAGTTTACCTACATAGATCACAGTGACAGACAAGACCAAAGAACTAGTTCAACAACAAACGTCCATGCTTCTCAGATTTTTTTTTCCCCGTAAGTAATTAGAGGGTGATTTAAAAACTCTTTAAAAGACAATTAACTGTTATTCCAGGCAACAGTGTTTTAAATTACACGTTGCTGATGTAGAAATAAGAACAAAAAAACTCATGGCAGTTATAGTTAAAAAACGATTTCTGCAGGCGGTGGTGGCGCACCCCTTTAATCCCAGCACTCGGGAGGCAGAGGGAGGCGCATCTCTGTGAGTTCGAGGCCGGGCTGGACTGACAGACTCCAAAACAATACAGAGAAACCCTGTCTCGTAAAAAACAAACAAACAAACAAACAAAAAAACCAAAAAAAAAAAAAAACCAAAAAAAAAAAAAAAACCAAAACGATTTCTGGAGGCTGGAACTTTTCTCATGCTGTGTGTAGAAAAGTTCGCCCCGTGGACCTGTTTTCCTCATCAATGACAGGAAAGAAGAAACGCAAATGTGTTCTCTGTTCAACCTCATGTGTCACAAGCAGGGTCTAGGGGTCTGTTCCTCCCTACTCTCCAGCAGCCTGTCTCGGAGCTGAGCCGCTTCTCACAAGAGAGCTGTTCTGGGCTTGTGTCTCAGGACCACGGGCGTAGACAAAAAGGGGAATTGAAGCAGACAACTAGAGTATTTCCCCCCGATCTTTTCTAAAGCAGTTTACAATTTCCAAGGAGAATCACAGATCAGTGGGAAACGTATTTTTCATCCACACACGGCAGGTAGCCGACATGTAGCCGGTCTCAGTGCTCTGGGACAAGATGCCCATGGTCGCCACAGGGAAGCCAGTGTCAGCCCCATCATCTCGCCTCTCCGGCTCCCTCAAATAGAAAGCGTGCCTTGTCCGTGCTGCTCTCCGATTCGGTGGACTGACTGCTTCTCCTTGTTTGTGCAGCCTCTGCCGCCGTGTCACGACTCCGCAGAATCCATGCAGGTGTTTAAACAGCACTGCCAAATAGCAGAGGAGTACCATGAGGTCAAGAAGGAGATCGCCTTGCTGGAGGAAAGGAAGTAAGTCCTTCCCAGCCCAGTCGCTTCTGCCGAGCAAAGACTGTGGTGGGCGGGTGGGAAGGGAGGGCATTGGAGGAACAAGCCATAGCCAGCCCTTCGGTAGACCAAGGGCTTCTGCCTATGGACTAGGGAAGAGAGCTGTGGGCATGCTTCCACTCAGGGCCTAATTGTTTTTTAAATGAGAGATTTTAGCTGAAGAAATTAAAAACTGCCAAAACGCCATCCAGAGCCATGTCCCATGGCTCTACTCAGAGCCTCAGGGCACTTTGGGCTGGGGTGAATTTTAATTGATGTTTAAACAGTAGAGGTCCCACATTAAATGAAAAGCCCTTTTAGAGTTATGTAAACGTATTAGTTGACTAATTACATTTTATAGTTCTAGTAAGTTTTTATCCTGATAGCATTTATTATCATTACAGGTCTGCTGTGGAAAGTTATACAATTCAATTAATTAGAGCACTTTAATTTTACTGACTGTTTCACAAAACCCATTTTATTTGCATTCAGTTCTGCCAGCATCTGTCCTCAGTGATTCTAACTTTTTTATTCCTGAAAAGCATCAAAGTAAACACGGTGTCTCCATCCACTGGCCAGTTCCATTTTTACACACTTACCAGGGAGATCTGGTGGTAGTATTTACACATCTTAATAAGAGTTGATCGTATTAAAACAGACCTACAGAAGCATGTCTCTCTGTTGAGTTCCCGAAGCCTTGTCCATTATGTACACCTAAATGCTATACACATTATTGCCTGGGCATGAAACAGAACTCTCAAGCAGGGCAGTTTTTAACATTATATTTCTTCATCCCCTTCATCTTACTGCAGTGACACAATGTATTTATTGCTTAATTTCTAAGCGAAAGGTGAAATGTGTTTCGTTTAAGGAAATCTTAGGACTCTTGAAGACTGCAGTATAGAGGTTGTACATCTACACATTGTGGATTTGGTAAGCAGACTACTGCATTTACCAAATCAACTCAGCCTTTTCTAAATTCCCTGCTTTGCTTCACTTCAGTCACAAAAATTGTGACTTTTGGCCATCTGGGATTAAAATCTGTTAAGAAATCAGAAAACACAAGTTTTAAAATCCAAGGCTCTGTTTTTGTTTGTAGAGTCTAAATAAGCTGTCCAGATTATTTAGATTGCATTTGTCAGCACAGTGTGACTTCTGAGAGTGTCCAGCGTTGTAGCCACAGGAGGACTTAGGATCAGCAGCCCGTGAGTGTATTTCCTGGGCTCTGTTTACTTGTGCACACGCAAACTGTGATGGCACAATAGTTTTCCCTAGGAAAAGCCCACCCAGGTAGTTCATCTTTATCGATAAACTCCACGTAGTTCATCTTTATCGATAAACTCCAGTTTGCAGCTTCTGGAGGACTTTGTTATTTGATTTAACCTCATCTGTGGCTTATTTCAGGCAATGTGAGAATCACCCACTTTAAAAGTTTTTAAGGTGCTGCATTTGGAAATATAACAGGATAATGACGTAAGAATGGCTAATGTCAGGGTTTGTTCCAGCTGCTTGTGTTGAGAAAAATGATAAGCGGTGGGTATCACCACAGCATCCAAGTAAGAAAGAGTTAAGTCGGTTTCAGCTAGCCAGTTAAGGGACAAACTTTATATAACCTTCCAGGACCTCAAAGAGGTAAGGAGCACCCCCACCTCCAGGCACTCAAGGACACGTGTGTTTCTGACCTTATTCCTTCATCAACTGTATCTGAATTCTCTAGTTGGCTACATATAGATCAAGGACAAATCTTTTACTATTTTTTTCTCTTTCATAAGTTTCTTAAGTTTCCTTTTCTCCATTCCCAGTTCTTCTATCTGGGCTTAAGATTTTTTGATTTAAATCTTGGCTGGTATAATATTATAATTGTTCCCCCTCTCTCTCTCTCTCTCTCTCTCTCTCTCTCTCTCTCTCTCTCTCTCTCTCTCTCTCTCTCTCTCTCTCTTTGTGTTTAACATTAATGGCAGTTTCTGCTTCTTCTGTTCCTCCCTTGCTCCTTCTCTCTGGGGAGGGGGGCAGTCCTATGGTTTCAGACTGGTATCAAACTTACTATATGCCCAAGTATGGCCTACCTCCTGGTCACCCTGCCTTGACTTCCCTAAGGGCTCAATCATAGGCATGTGCTGCCACACCTGTTTTATGAAGTGCTGGGAGTCAAACCCAGAACCTCCTACGTGTCAGGCAAGCATCCTACAAACTGACCTGGGCTCCCAGTCCCCACACCCAAGTCTGGCCTGGGTTTCACCACCTGCCATAATATGCCTAGGAACCTCTCTAGAACTCCCTACCTTGACCCTGCCTCAACTGCATAGGTCTATTCTCTCCCAGGATGGAGCTGGGTCCTGTCTGTGTCTGCCCCACCTGCAGCAATTCCTATAAGTGAGACAAGCCCATGCCCTTGCCCCTGGTGATCAGATCTTTTCCTCAGCAATGGAAGAGCCGCCGAGTGACCCTTTGAGCCTTCAGTAGGTTAGCTCTACCAGTGACCGTGTTTAAGTTTATGCTGTCTTTGTGGTACTCTGTCTCCCCAGCGGGCAGCCACACACTTGCTATCTTTAGCATCTCTTTGTGTCCTCTTCATCCACCACGGAGCTGATCATAAATGTCAAATATGAATGAGGTTGATTTAAGGTAGCCCATTATAGGTTCAGTATTGTCCTCTGCATAAACACATTCTCTTTGTGTTGCTTTGGTCCAGTATTTAAAATATGGAGCTGATGCTCGTAAGGGTCACTAAGACAACTGTTAAATCACAAACTGTGGCTGGAGTCATCACTGTGTGGAACCCATCCTCTAAGGACTGTTAGCTGTACTGTTTTTCATGACGCTGTAGTGAACCAGTGGTTCCTTTTATAACAGATCTTCTTTTCTGAGGTCTTTGTTTTCAAGCAGGATAAATCAGGCCATATGGATTTGACGCAAGCAATTAGCATTCCATTGAAAAATGATTCGGATGGGAATTTCTCTCCCAACACTCATAAAGTGTGGCCGACTTTGATGCCTTTGACAACTGGCTCATGCAAGTGAGACGCAAAGATTCTAAAGTATTTTACAAGAGATGTCTTCTTTATTGGAATTGTTTGTGCAGTGCACAGCCTAATGTTTGAACTTGAGACTGAACTTCTCTCATCTCTCCAGAGGAGGTCTCCCTGGATCAAGTTTGGGAGAACTTACAGCGAGAGGCGAAGAGTTGATAGAACTGTAACCATGCATGTTCGTTGGGTGGATAAAAGATAGTCAAACCTTTTCACGGATTACTCAACATGGGATAAGTCCTATTTATTTAAACTTACTTCTGGCTTATGACCAATGATATATAGAGTCAGTTCTTATGTTAGTTGGACATCTAGATATTTTGCATTTGATAATATTCCTTATAATTGCATATACTATAACATGACATATCTTTCTGATGCAACTTCTAAGAATTTTCATACAGTATACGTAGCTTCTTTTGTACATCATGTAGCTTTAGAAGTCTAGCACTGATTGATAGAAATGATTTAAAATACACGATTAAACTACAACCTGTTATAAAGGTTGCTGAATTCTAGACATGATCCTATCTTGTCTGGTGGAGAAAGTGGTTCTCCCATCTTGATATGAACCACCCCAAGGAGACGGACGGTACCAGACAAGGATCCTTACAGAAGATGAACTTTTCTGTCCGGCAGTTCAGGGCTCTGCAGTGTTTCAGGGTTGTGTAGCTGTCTCCATGGTTGTAGGTGATTTTTATCAGCCCAGAAGGAAACCTTGTAGTCTTGAGCAGTCCCTCTTTCCTAGCCATTTTAGCAAACAAACCTGTTTCCTGTGCCTATCAGCTTGCTGCTGGGCCATTTATTTTTTTATTTTTTATTTTTAAATTTAAATTTAAATTAGAAACAAGGTTGCTTCACATTTCAATTCCAGGTCTCTCTCCCTTTCCCTCCCCTCCTCCCACGCCCTCCTCCCAACCCCTCCAATACCCCCTCATTTCCCCAGGGAGGGTGAGGCCCTCCATTGGGGTGTCCATAGTCTGTCATTTCATCCAGGGCAGGGCCTAGACCCTCCCCCAAGAGTTCAGGGTGAGAGTGCATCTCACATTGTTGGATGGGATTCCAAAGTCCACGTGTATACTTGGGATGAATACTGATCTACTGCCCAAGGCTCAATAGATTACTTAGGCCTCCTCACTGACACCCACATTCAGGGGGGCTTGATCAGTCCCATGCTGGATTCCCAGGCATCAGACTGGGATTCAAGAGTTAACCCTTGTCAGGTCAGCTGTTTCTGGGGGTTAAACCAGCCCAGTCTTAATCCCTTTGGTCATCAGTCCTCCCTCTCTGTTACTGGCTTTCTAGAGTTCAGCTCAGCGCTTAGCTGTGGGAGTCTGCCTCTTCTTCCATCAGCCACTGAATGAAGGTTCTGTTTCCCGGACTCTCTGGCCATGGGATTGTAGGCTGGCACTCCCCAGATCTATGTCTAAAATCCATATATGAGAGAGTACATGCCATGTTTCTCTTTTTGTGACTGGGTTACCTCACTCAGGATGGTTTCTTCTAGTGCCATCCATTTGCCTGCAAATTTCAGGATTCCATTGTTTTTTTTTTTTTCTTCTGCTGAATAGTACTCCATTGTGTAAATGCACCACATTTTCTCTATCCACTCTTCGGTTGAGGGGCATCTAGGTTGCTTCCAAGTTCTGGCTATTACAAATGATGCTGGGCCATTTTTTAAGTGAATGTAATCATGTAATATATTTTGATGTGGCTCTCGGAGAGTAATGTTTCAAGTCCGTCCATGTGTCACACAGCAGTGCTTTGTTCTTTTTATCTGAGGGTAATATCCTACTGTCTACATCTTGTATGCCTTTCGTTGGTTAATGTACACTTGGGTTGTTTGTACTGTTCAGTGTTTTGAGTAATGCCAGTGTAAACATCTGTGAAGAGTTCTAATTGCTGCACACATCTGCGTGTGCTAATTCTGTCCCAATGATACCCGTGCTAGTAGAT